GTAGCTGATTGTTCGCACCTTTGGATTGTTGGCATTTCGGCAACGAGAGAAATGCAAGCAGAGGCCGTGCTGGCAAGAATCGTGCGACACCATGTCAGGCGATCGTGCCACGGTTCCTAGATCTACGGGCTCTCCGGACACAGTCATTGAACTTATCACTCCTGAAATATCAGCAGTTGATTAGAGATAGTTGTTTTCGTCGATGATATGCCAGCAGGCCGGTGTCAGATTTTAGAAGTAGCGAATCGAGCGATTTGCAAAGCCGGACACCGGCCTTATTCGCCATGCGTATGATATCACAAAGACGGTAATATATGACCAGTACCCTTCGCCGTCAGTCAGATTTCAATCCTAAACCTCAACTTGAGCTCTTGAGAGTAAAACCCGGGCCAGGCTCGGTGTCCTTGCAAACAGGGATCATGTTTGACGAGTGCTTCGAAAGACCCCGAATTATACGAGCGCTATCAGGTCAATCATTGAGAGGATTTCACGATAAGAACGAAGGTCGAAGAAGGGGAAATTGCATAGTTGGGAGACAGGCGGACCTCCTGAGGGTGCTGACCGACGCGCAATTGGCAGCGAAAGATTTGACCTCGGCGATCTAGCATGGCTCACTCTTGGCGCGGTTGGCGGGGTACGCCCACCGACTATCTAATCACTCGCCGCAGGTCTATACGTGGCGAGTGATTAGATAGAGAGAGAGCGTAGTGTTGAAGAGGGCACAGCGATGAGAGTCGCATCAATGCGCAAATCAACGGGCAAGGAAGGGGTCCCATTTCTCGGGTTTCGGGCCGTTTCAAATGGTTTCTTCTTCATCCGTGCTCCACTCACCACCTCTATCCCTTATTTCCAGTGAGCCAACTTATACATCCGTAAATTCTGCCTTTATGATGATGATAATGAAATACGAAAGTCACCTATAAAACCCTGATGTACCATCTCGGGGTCCGTAGCCTCTATGTGTGATCCAAGAAATACCGGTCCATTAGTGCCTTGTTCGAATTTGGTCGGATGGTGAATCTTCTCGGTTGGAGGACCAGAGTTCAATTGCGAAACTGCTGGAATACCAATTTTTTATATTCACATAGAGCTTGGTGGAGAGAAATTTGCCTTTTGTGTCGTTGTTCATCAACCGGATCGTGTTCCACTCGTTCGGTATTACACTGTTCTCCGACACAATGAATTCTGAATTAGGAAAACTTTTGGTTGATCTCCTGAGCCTGAGTGCCGGCAGTTCGCGCACCTTGACCGTAACCGACGTCAAATTCATATACGACAAGACCATGGTCGATTCGTGCTCGATGCTCGATATTCGGTGTACGTGTGATAATTGCTGGATCTTCACCAGCTAACGATGGGCGACGAGCTGTTTCGAAGATCACCCCTGGAAAAACCTTCTCGAACGTTTCGGTAAAAGGAAGAGGCTTGCTGGAAATAGAGGGCGAAGTGATGATGGACCTACCATCTTTACCGGATGGATTGACAGCGAGAACCACATTGAGATTTCTGAGCTGTTCGTCGGTCAATGGAGGAAAGACTAGCGATTCTTGACCGAAAAATGTTGGCACGAAATCTGAAAAAGAGGATTGATAAATGGACAGGATAGAGAAATGTGCGCTCAGAGGTCAGTCCCTGGCACTTAAGTTCTAGCTTTCAGTGTTCGAAGGCATTGGCCCTAGGAATACAAAGGCTGTCTACACAAAAATCGGGGCGAATAGAATCGCTACACATAGTGAAAGTTTTGTGGCTAGTAATCGAATCATGTGAGAAAAAGAAACCGGCCAAGTTCACCCTAAAACGTTTTTGCTTCTGCTCTGAGACACACAATTATGACTCTCTAAACCTTTATCAAACTGGACTCTATAAAGTATCAAAATGCTCAAAAGCACCGTAGAATGTCCACTACCGTCCACGTGGCAGCTCACTAACGATGATTACTTGGTCAATTTTCATTCGCGGTGCATTGATACTGAAAATGACTTCATCGAAGTTCCAGCTTCGAGAAACCTTTTGTATTTGGCGTACAAGCCCTCGTATCTCTGCTTATCGACGCAAATTTGACACTCCACCATTTGTATGAACTTGGCGAGGTCGCCAATCACCCTTCTCCCAAACCGTGTCAATCGTCGCATCTTCTAAATTGAGAACGCATAGAGAAAACCTTAATCATATAAGATTTTCATTTCTGGTCGCAATATCCTAAGTTTTATTTTAAATTCTAACTCTCAACGATTATATCCTAATCTCTAATTTCTATTCCATGATCACCACAATGTAGATTTAAATGCGTGTCGAATTACCTCCGAATGGGAATGGTGAGCATTTCATTTTTTTTGAACCCATCACACGCCCCCAAGTAATAAGGTGCTAGTGAAACTCCGAAACGAACGTCATCTGCAGTCTGGTTTGGCCAAAAATGTACGAGAATAATCATGAAGCGGGTATAACGTATACTATTGCTTGTATAATTACCCTTCCCTTTGCTGAAATGTTTATGCACATAACGGTATCATCTTTATTCGCATCAGGGCTCGGGTGCCCCCAGATACTTTTACTGCTAGGAATCCTGTGTTTATTATCATATTTTGATTATTAACAGGGTTTTCTAAACAATTGAATCCATCTTGAATGAGCGGGTATGCATGCAGAAAAAGGGCCTTACTTTTTGAGCTTCAGACACCGAGCTTCTGATATACTAAGCTTGCTCATCGATCGAAACACTGCAGTCCAAGATACAGCAGGCATGCCTTAATAAACATCACGTACCGGAGTGCGCCAGAAAAAGACATTTTGCCCATTTCGCACTTCAGGCCTTTTTTTTCTTCAAGATTGCCGTCGTTGACGGAAGTTCCTCAGCAAAATATTCCCTAAATGTCCCTCTATAAGTACACGCAGGCCCTCCTTCACTACCCTCACCGTCTTCAGAATATGACGTCATCTGTCACCGTCGTCGAGCTCAGGGAGGCCTACAGTAACTGCTTCAGCCTGAAGCTCTTACTATGTAATTTCTTGGATCGATTAATAGTTTCCTAGGGAGATTAGCTCTAAATATGCAAAGCAAAAACTCACCAGCATCCGTTCTTCGTAACCCGTCGTAACGGTACACATCAGCCGAGAACCCCATTGACTCGAACCATCGCAACCCCACCCGCATGAACCCTTGAGCATTTCCTGACAAGGGAAGGATGGTAGCTCGAACAGTGGCCGTTAAAAATGAAATGTATACCTCCTGATGCGTCTCCAGACGCTGATTCCAAATCTGCCTTCCAAATCTGCTAAACGACTCTCCGAACGGAGTTATGAAGCGTAATAGCTCAGTGGTGATGGTCCGGGGTGGCAGGTAAAAGCTCGTAGGATCGGTTCCTTTGCAAATTGGTTGCTTTGCTTTTGTCTCTAGAAGTGTTGCGGACAAAAGCAAAGCAACAAACTTGCAAAGGAACCGATCCTACGAGCTTTTACCTGCCACCCCGGACCATCACCACTGAGCTATTACGCTTCATAACTCCGTTCGGAGAGCCGTTTAGCAGATTTGGAAGGCAGATTTGAACAGCGTCTGAGACCATCATTGGTATAACCATCTCATTTTATACGCCATTCGACTATTATCCTTCTCCTATCTCTCCACAACCAACTTTTCTGACTGGCGACCACGTAGATGAGCTTTGAGTCTGATCGTGATAAAATTTGCTTACCATTTAAATCTGGAGACAAACATTTTAATATTGTTCCTCACCCCCTGTATAATAGGCAATAATATAAAGGCAGAATAATAACAGATATGACGAAATCTTTAAGCTCACACCTCTGTGACAAGCAAAAGTAAGGGCAAAAAAACGGAAGCTATGCTATGTAGCAAATATTTCTTGCTCTTTCGTGCATCATCATTTCAGAATCGCTTCCAACATCAAAGCTATTTTTGTAGTTTAACGCCCTTGGCTAGGCGAATTTGATCACACATGCTTCTAAGAGAAAATCGTCTCTATTCCAAAATCTGCGGCACAAGAATGTTGGCCGACCTGTCCATCTGTGAGATGCCACATTTTCTCAAGAGCGATTTGGCTGGTTCAGGTGAGGTATTGGACAGGATTTATGGATAACGTTACTCGATCAAAATACGCTCAGATCAAGGAAAAGAGGGGAGCGGAATTTCCCTTTTTGAGAATGATGCTTTTAAATGAAACAAATACCTCGTCACCGATCGACTTCACGATCGGTAGCGTCGATGGTCCACCTAAAATCTGTACATTGGAATGAGTGACATAAAAAAACGAAACTACACTTAAATGGCCGCCACGCCCATCAGGTGTTAGATCACGCTCACACAAGTCCCTTGTCTCCACTGCATACCTAATTCAAAGGCGAAGTTCATGGTTGGAAGGCGGCCCATCAGGATCAAAGTAGAGGTGGTTCTACATGGTGCCGGGATGAAGAAAAAACCATGAGAAATGGCCCAGAACCCAAAAAATGCTTGCCCGTTGATTTCCGCATTGATGCGACTCTCATCGGTGCTGCCCTCTTCAACGCTAACGCTCTCTCTGCTAAACGGCTAGAGACCTGCGGCGAGTGGTTAGCCAGTCGGTGGGCGTATCGCGCAATAGCGCCGCGGGATGGCCGTGGTATATCGCTGGGGGTATACCCTTCGCTGCAAATTGAATATGATCTCTCACTCATAGGGGGTCTCCCTTTCCATTGCACTAAGTGAGTTCTCCCTTCTTCAGCCTTCGACTTTATCGCTTAATCCTCCTTTAGCCGCGATGTTGCGCTAAATTTACGGGCGGGACTATCTGGTAACCACCTACTGATTGGCGCACACTTGCCTCCTCCACGCTTTATGGCCCACTTCATAAAAATGATTTTGTGAGCGCATAATCAATATAAATTTTCTAAGGCGCGTCCTGAAAGAGCGATTTGAAGTATGAAAACTTCAAGAAAAATCAGTCCAGGAGGGGTGTCACAAGGTGATTGTACCTCAATTTCTCAGTATCCCAGGCCAAATGTACCTATGGCTCACACATTCTCGTCACTAAACCTCACGTAACTCCACCCACACGGCAAACTCCGCCCCCTCCACCCAATTCCATAAATTATACATTTTATGGGCGGAAGTGGTGTAGTGGCAAGTGGCACGCTTACCACGCGAGCGGTCCGGGGATCAAATCCTGGGTCGTGAGTCGCCCGGGCCAACCAAGCCTTCCATCCCTCCGGGGTCGGTTAATTGGTACCAGACTTGTCTGGGAGGATAAAAACACTGACTTGTACATCGGCTGGCCCCCGCAAGTCATTGTATAGGCCACATCGCATTCAAACGCCACTGCGAATGTACAATGGAAGTGTTGAAGTGCCCCTTGGACTCGAAGGATAGAGGTGTCATCTCAGTTCACGGTGCAGCAGCAACGGGTTGACTACTTCTCGAGCCTCGTAACGTATGAATTCTATTATATTACAATGGGTTGTTCAGAAAGTTCCTGCCGCGACCTCCGAATTCAAAAGTGCATATCTCACATAAAACTTTTCCACTCGAGATAAAAGCGATTACAATCCCTAAACCTTTGCCCAAGAAAAGGGTTTACTAGATCCGAATGTTGGAAGTATTGGAGTTCTGTGGGCGAAGAACTTGGGGAAGGTTGCTTCACCATCAAGTTGGGTTTCAATGTTTGATCTT